CCAATTGCCTTTCCGACCAAAATTGTTTGGTGATACGTTACGATTCGAGTTTAGTGAGATAAGTGTTCCATAGAAGTAAACGTGTATACAAACTGAACATACCTGTGGAGCTATCAACCGTAACAGAAGATTCCTGGACTGCCTCTGAAAGTAGTAAAACCCTATAAGTGTATCACTACTAACAGTAAAAACACTCACCCTTGCTCTTTCGCCCCAGCATTTTCGCTAATGCAGCTCCACTAACCTTTCTACTCTTTTTTCTAGCCATATCTAGAAAGTAATCTCTTAATTAATCACAATAAACGCTATTAATTATAAAAAAATTTACCTCTAAGAAAAGTACGTAACGTTGCTTCTGGAAGCAGAGGTGTCGAGGCTATATCCTAAACCGGAAATGTAAACAAAGTAAAGGGTTCGAGATTAAAATATACATACTTAATTATTTGTCATTTGTTTTTATTGCGATTAAACAACTTATAGGTTATGTTTATTGTTTTGGATGTGGCTATAGTACCTATGATTTATGGAAATCACATCGATAATATACAGTGTATTTCAAAGAAATCACACTCTTAACTCGTTCATTCACACGGATGCCTTTTAAAGGGCTTCTTTCTACATTCTGAAATCGTTATCGAGATATCGCGTTTTAACTGTTTTTTGTGGTGTTAAATTACAAATCACAATATCTCCGTTGTTTACCGTCCGATCTCGACGAAATTTAATATTTGAAAGTTTGTAGACTCAGGACATCCGTTCCCACCTTTTAGGGAATTCTATCTCCATTCCGAAATTTTGACCGTCCCATCGGTTAGATTACGTCGAGAGCTTTCCAAAGATACCTATAAAGCCCCATCTACGACGTACCGTTCTCGAGATATCGCGTTTTAAGTGTTTTCGGTGGTGTCAAATTACAAACGGCTATATCTCCGTTATTTACCGTCCGATCTCGATGAAATTTGGTATCGAGAGGTGTGGGGACTCGGACAATTCGATTCCGTCATTTCCGAGCTCGTATCTCAGTTTCCAAAATTCGACCCTCCCATCGGTTAGATTAGCTCGAGAACTTTCTAAAGACACCCAGGAACCCCTATCTACGACGTTCCGTTTTCGAGATATCGCGTTTTAAGTTTTTGATAAAAAATCCAAAAAACGGTTATTGCGTAGATCGTCTAGAAATGTCGCGAAACGCGTGATTCCGAAGTATCGAGGTCGCAGGTCGAAAGACGACAGAGAGGCGTCGATATCTCGAAAAGGGGAGGGGATAGGAAAAAATTGAAAATCCCGTTTCGAGCCCCCGGCGGGGCGCAGCTACGATTTAAATTTGGTCCAGATCGGCCGGTAAATAAGGGAGATATTAAGAGATGCGCGGCCCTTTAAAACGCATCCGTGCGCGTGGACAAAAAAAGGCACACGCCCGCCTCCCCAGCGACACAGCCCCCCCCCTTCGGCCACAGGCTGACGCCTGGCGCCTACTGAAGACGCGGTCGAAATTTTTCCCGTGTTATACGTATAACTTCGGAGATCGATCGCGTACGAGTAGATACGGGAGTGTATTTTTAAAAATGAGTATATATATACCCGTTTGTGACCAAATTTTTTATCGACGTTTCGCGACCCGTTTGTTGCGATGAGGGAAGAATACAATTTGGACGATTCGCGACGGCGGCGTCGGGTGACGTCGCCAAAATGCGAATCTCGGTGACGGAAAGTCGTAAGAGGGCATGAGAGGTATCGTCGGAAAGGTATCGACGGCGAGGTTACGATAGTTTACGTGTAGTGTGGATCCTATTCCCACCTCCCTCGGTGGTCGAGGCGGATCGAAAAAAATTGTAAAAGTGGTCACCCCTAACGGCTACGGATTCCGAAAGTACCGAGCCCGTAGGTCGAATAACTTTTCCTCCAGGTCCGAAAAGGTGTTTTTCGGGTTTTTTCACGACTTACGGCAGCCCCCCGGGCGAAAAAAAATTCTACCCTACACGGTTCGACGCGCCCGTCCTCGGTACCTCCCGGGCCGTGGCGGCGTCCGCGTGACTCTGACCGTCCGGCCTCCGGAGGGTGTTTTATGGGGAAAAATGGGAAAATTCTTTTCTTTTTTGCGGGTAAAAAAGTTGCCTTATTTGCTTATTGTATTATGAATGTCAATGAATTAATAAATAATAACTACATACATCCGCAGGTCTTCAAATCGGCATATATTCGTTGTTTAAGGTCCGATCTCGTTAAAATTTGGTATACGTACGAACGGATAATTGCGACATCCGCCCGAACCCCCCTCCCCATACGTATATACATACCTGTCCGTACACGACAAAGTTTTTTACTCGTCGCGATTCGTTTATCGTCCGTGACGGAAGGGTGGGACTCGAACGGTCCGCGACGGCGCCTACGCGCGACCTTACAAATTTCTTCAAATTTAGTTATGGTTGTCAGAAGGGGCCTGGGGAATTTGGTTATTTAAATAAATGCTGATTTGACTTATTTCAAGGCGAAAATTAGTTCGCCCAAGAACGTAGACGTTCGTTTCTGCTTTATCTGTAATCATTTACATCGTTACAGTATTTCAGCTTCTTTTTCTCTTGCCGTCACTGCCGAAACTACATTTCCTACGTACTTTTTCTAATCACCATCGTCACTTGTCATCATTACCATTCAACATATCGCATTGCAATGAATTAATGAAAATACGTTTATTAACAATAACGTAGGTAAAATAATTGTAGTGGGCGGCAAGATATCTACAGCGATGGCTATTCTAGACTAATGTTTTTACCGCATTTTCCAAAAGAAAAGATGATTTCTATATTTCATGTGATCAATTGCAATTCCTCACGATGGTAGCAAAAATTTACGACACTAGCAATTACAGTTTCCTTGCCCGCTGCTCCGACAGCTCACACGTTGCATTGCAGAACGTCCGATCTTAAATACCAAGTGTTAGATGAGTTCCAGAGAACGGTACTTCATCGATAGAAGTGGTTAATGGTCGTTACATGAAAGATAGATTCAAAAACTACAATGCCAAAATCTAACTAATTAAAACTTACCCCATTAATAAATGGGCTTCGGATGGCGGTATAGGTAAAAGAAAGATAGGTACTTAACTTAAAACATATGGTATAACCTAAAACACGGGTTATCGAAATAGGGGATCCTATGAAAATAACTTTAACTTTGAAAAGATACAACCATGTATCATTCACGTAAATACGCTAGATAAATAATTTAGACAACTTTAGTTTAATGGCTCTGGAATTTTCCACTTCATATAATCATCTTTCGCAAAATAAGAACCTGTCATTTCAACGACAAAAGCAAAAGTATTCCTTTTATTTTAAAGAGTTACATTTGTTTTATTATCAATATATAATTAAAAAAAAGTATGCAAGATTAATTTGGTTCTGTGATAATGTAATGATCAATATTCTCTAAAATTGTAAAATTCTTTTATTATTTTTTATAAACGTTAAGTAGACGGCTTGTCTGAAATAGAAAAGCTATTAGGAAATTTATTTGTATTGATCAAAACTATGAGAAAGCATCATCCGAGTACACATTTCGAAAAATTGTCCGGATAGGCTGCATACCGGGCGCAGTCACCGGGTACTCACTACATCCCTAGTGTAAACTAACCATTTCTCTCAGTTTTCTTCTAAAATAAAAATTGGAAAAATCCTAATACAGTTTTAATTTCAAAGTTTAGGAACATTGTTTGTTATGATGAAACGTGAAAAACGGACATATACTTTGCTTGATATTTTGAGGTGCAACACTGAAGTGTGGTTCTGTAGGCGGAATACTGCATTCTACCAACAATTAGATAAGCATTACATACAATCACGGCTGTGGTGTACAATTTGCGCTAAGCTTTACGAACCTATTATTCATGTTAGGTTAACGTGCAATGTGAATGCGGTTTAATGACATATTTTGTATACTTTGCAGTGCTAACATAACGTTAACGATCAGATAATAGTTACAATTAACGTGTGTGATATGATAGACTGCCGATTATTTCTAACAAGTTTTTAATTTTTTACATAAATGAAGTTATACAGTTATAAATGTTCAAGTATTTCCGTTGGTCTTATAATTATTGAAACTAACTACCCAAGTTAAAACAAATTTTAATGTTCTCCTCCTACGATTTAACTACGAGAAACGTAAATGTCTTCATTTATAATTCACGACACCATCCATTCAGGCCAGATAAAATTAAATACTGAACAAATACACATTCTAATCTTTAATTAAGTATTTAAATAATAGAGTTTGACTATTAATTTTCACTTTTATGTTACGTAAACTGTAAGCTACACGAATCGAACATAGTAATAACTGTCTTATAGGCGCCGTATCAAGACATTTAAAAGTAACGAGGTTTCAATTGTGAATAAAAACTGGTTTGAATAATGGCTCGATACTAAATATGGAGTCAAAAAAATTGAATTTGTTACAAAATGATTGTGTTTTCGTTAATTAACAAATGCCGCGATCGTATATCTGTGGTTAGTTATTATAAGGGATGTGAGAAATTAGCATAAGAGCCCAAATATCAACATAAATAACTCGACTCTAACATACAAATTTTATTTTTCCGAATTAATATCTATATCTTATCACGATAATAAGCACAGCCCAATTAGAGTTTTTTATTTATACTTTACTAGACACCTCGTAAATGTTAGATTAATTAATGTTAATTACGGCGGTAGAGATCGTCGTCAAAAGATAAAAGATGGCTTTCGAACTCTAGGTGGAAACTTGAGACTGCTATGACCAATTTCGTAAAGAGCCTTAAAACGTGTATGTAGTTACCCTGCGGTTTATCGCGTTATTCGAATACACAAAAACCGAAATGGTGCAAGAATGTAATTAAACCGCCGAATGTTATCTCTTATGATAATTTTACTTTATTTGAGGAATACTAATGGTAACTCGTGGGAAATGAGTACCTAGTCCTTGCTGATCTTCCACACCACTTTAATAAGCCGAAATTATTTTTATTAGCAGCAGATATAATATCGTATTTCCGCTGATTATTCTTTAAAAATCAAAAGAGTAAAATTCAACTTCATCCTTTCACTTTATGATGAATCATCAATAAAATTGCCTAATTCTTAGCACCTCCTCAACCGTTTAACATCCGCGAAATCAACATTTTGATTAATCACCTAACAAATTTTCTTGAATGTAATAACTAAGCTTGGAAACAAAACGCTGTTTAGTCCAGTGATTTAAGGCCAAAAATAAGGCCAACCTCGGAATGAGAGATAATAAGCAGCAAACTTCTGTAAACCTTTATTTTGTCATTCTGAAAGTTGTCTCAAAAGTCACATAAAATCTCGTGTCCGCGTCTTAA